ATGTCTGCCATCTCAGCCGAACACCTCAACACTTGGCGTAAAATGCATTAGCCGAGTTCAAAACAGTCACAGGTCACAGTAATCGTTATATTCTTGTTAAAATCATCTTTTCTACATTTAAAATTGACAAAAAAACAAGCACAACCTGAATCGCAAGCATCCCATCGAGGCCTGCGGGCAACGTCATCATTATAAGCTGTTTGTGCTGCTAATAAGAAGTGACGTCACTCGCAGGCCCTGCCGACTCGAGAGTTGACGAACGTACGCCTTATGAGGATGAGAATTCCTGTTAGTTTACGATTCTTGGCCTGTGCTCACCGAATACCGAATTAACCGACAGAGGCTGCTGATGTTACATTGCATTGTTGCCGACATGAGAACAAGTTTTCAGGGGGGGGCCGGCTAAATTTCAGTGGCGGCCCCGGCCTCTTCTGGCCCTTCCCTGGCGTCGCCACTGAACAAATGATGCGGACAGTGAATTTGTTGCGGAAAAAAATACCATCATTTTTAACTAAATATCGATATCAACTAAAAAAAATTAACCTACGGCGGTTGCCTGCGGCGCTAATGGAAATGGTCTTATTATAATACTGCCCCCCCCTGAGAAACCTCGTAACGACGCCCATGGTTATAACGTTTCGTTTGTGAACGTTTGTGAAACACCACCATGGAAAATCAAAGGGAACTAATAAGACATCATATAATGAATCTGTTCGACGTTCATTTCAGACCGGCTTTGCAGCTTCTAACCCCAAGAACCGGTGCGAGACTCCTGAATTTTTTTTATTTTTTTTTCAGTGGTGCGGCAACGTGCGGTAAAAAAAAATATGAGCATAGAAACTACAAATATTGTAGCATCAAAATTGCTCAATACTTGGTGGTAGCTATTGGTAACTCAACAGATCTACTTCACCCAATATGGCGAGAATTGAAAAAAACGTGAAAGTTTGATATCTGTAGAACAAAGTCGCGGAGCTTTTTCGAGAATAAAATAACTACAGTATAAAAGTACTCACCTTTACCAATCTGCAACATAATTTGGTTTTTGAATAGAACGTATTCGTACTAATAAATTTTTATTTTCGTATGACTTCTGCCAAGCTGAGCAGAAAACGACCAAACTGGGTTGATATAAGCTTATCAAAATACAAAGAATATACAATCCATAACAATAATTGTTGAATTTTTATATCAATTAGAATGTCTACTATCTATTAATATCAACAAACTTTTTTTACCTTGTTTCTAAAAAATTCGGTTTTGTCCCGCTAGAATTCAAATCCGCCGCACTGTGCGCCGTCTTTCACAACATTAGTTGATAATTGATTTGTTCGCGCGCTTTTTGGAATGCCTTGAGCGCAATCGCGCGGCTGTGGGTTGAGAAATGCGTGAACTGTTGAGAATTTGGTGCGCCCGCTCGCTACCATGTGTCACAAAGTCACCTGGCCATTCTAAAGTAACCCCGTTTTACGGTAACTATAATGTTCGTTTTTATGTTGCCGAATATTTAACAGGTATTTTACACCTTTAAGTCCGCAGAATTGAAAATAGTTTCTTTCAGTTCAATACGACTGAACAATTATTATCACACACTATTTCTTACCAGTCTCGGAGCCAGAAATATTTAACATAATTCCTACTTTATAAATATTCTAGTGGTTTGGATGAGATTCCTGTATGTATTCTGAAATAGGTGGCTGAGTCTATTTGTTGCCCTCCAAGCAGATATTATAAATGACTGTTTTTTTTTTTCATATATGGATTGAAAAAGCCAAACTTATTCCTATTCATAAGAAAGGAAAGGATATGTACATAATCCATCAGAAAATTTTACGCCGGTGTTACAATTATCGTCAGTGCCGAAGTTCGTCATAACCGACTTATGAATTTTATGATATAGGACAGGTACCTATATACCTACTTACTCTCACCCAGAGAATATTCATTTGGACCAAAGATCAACTGAACTAGCAATATTTAACACTAAGATGCATAATGTGTTCAAGCCCCCGTCATTTGCGTTTGATTAAAGTTGCTTTTGATAAACAGTGTATCTTTTAGCACCAGTTTAGTTCTGTTTTCAGGTTGTCAAGTTGGCACGCAATAAATGAATGAAATGTTCAGACGTTCTTATTTGTTTTTCCTTCCCGAATTTAATGAATTTAAGTTAAACAAAAACAGAGTCCACAAGTGTTAAAACAATTCAAACATAATGGAAAAAATTGATCATAACGAGAAGGTAGCAGGACTTTATTTCGACTTATCGAAGGCCTTTGACACCATTGATGATAATTCACTGTTGTTGAGAAAGCTTGAAATTTATATGGGGGAGAGGTATGAGTGAGAAACTGATACATTCATATTTGGCGGAGAGGCGGCAAGTCGTCTGTGTCGTTTTAAATGGTAAGCAGTACTTCTCGAGGCCTGGTGGAGATAAGGCAGGCTGTTCCACCGAGCTCAATACTGGGGCTACTGCTGTTTCTGCTGTATGCGAACAGCCTTATTAGTGAGGATTTTGTCGCCGTGTTGGTCTGTCAATATGCTGATGGATGATACAGCGGTTATTTTGGCTGATCCCACCGTGGCGGAATTGTCTAGGGGGTGTTCGCGGATACCGGATCAAATGCAGGGTTGGTGCCAGAAGAACAATCTTAAGGCTTGTTTGTATGTGTTGCATTAACTTGAACTAAGCTGTAATATTTCAGATTATGGCATGTACAGCCATATAAAACGCTCACAAACGAACAACGAACGCCCCAAAGCAGGAAGTGCTGCCCCGAGCAACATAAACAAACAAACCTTTAAGCTCAATTTGGAGAAAACTGGTTTGGGTTAGGAAAATATTAAAACAATGCCAGCCAGTGATACAGTGGCGACGCCAGGGTTTTACGTTAGGGGGGGCCAGGCTGGGCCAGAAAAAATTAGGGGGGGCACTTGTTCTTACTTTATTGCTTTTCTTCTTTGAAATAAAAAATGGGAATTTCAAAGTTTACCCGTATATTTTTGCACTCCACCTGAACAGCTTAATTGAATGTAGGTATCAAAAAGGTTTTTATTTGGATTTTGTATACAGGGTGTTGTCCGTTTTTCGAGGACAACCGAGAGGACAACCATTGGAATATAGGAAACGGTAAGAGATACAAAATCGGAATCAATGGCCAAATGTGTTAGGTACTGCTTTTGGGAGATCAAGAAACTCCGAATACAATTCATAAAAATGCAAACCTCTATTTAAAAAAATTAAGTTGATGATGATCGGCAAAAGACGAAACGTCGGATTTCAAATTTGGCTACACCATTATGTAGAGGGGAGGAAGTTGCCCCAATAAAGTGAAGTTTATTTGAAATACCTTTACAAATGAGTCCAGGAAAATATAGAAATAATTTTACAAAATTTTGATTTCCATGTAGATATCTCCGGAAGTATTCGGAATTTTCCAAATTTCGAAGTAGCGTTTTGTTGAGCAAGAAATTGCGCAATTTTGTCCCAGTTTAACCGAACCTGTATCTCTTACCGTTTCCTATATTCCAATGATTGCTCTCGAAAAACGGACACCCTGTATAGGTAAATCTTCTTGATACCTTTTCAATTAACCGTTCAGGGTCGGTTTCTCGATAGCTAGTCCAGGGTAAACGTGTCCAATTGCAATGTTTACCCTGGAGTTATGGTTAACTGCTCTGACCCGGGGGTGACTTGCTTGCTATTAAGAAACCGGCCTTCAGGTGAGGTGCCAAAAATACACAGGAAAACCCTGTACCTGCTGACACAAATATGTTTGGGGGAATCCCAGAAAAGCGAAAGCATAGTCGCGGTTGCCTGGCGCCCACCAAATATCAAATACAGAGAGCAGAGGTTACTCATGTTGCATTGCATTGTTGTCGACATGAGGGCAAGTTTTCAGGGGGGGCCAGCTAAATTTCAGGGGGGGCCCCGGCCCCCCCTGGCCTCGCCACTGCAGTGATAGCATCAAATTCTTGGGTGTTCATTTTGAACCAACATTGAGCTGGAATTTTCAGATTGGAAATTTGAATCTCAAGTTGGGCCGATACTGTTTTCTGATCCGCGGGCTTCGAGAGGTCCTCTCTCCAGAGGTACTATAAAACTTTTCATTTTGCCTCCCAAGAACATCTTGTAAGCCATTTTTCTCTGAGCTTGGGGTACCCTTACTTTACGTCTCTGGTTGTTTTCGTTATTAAGAAATATACTCGTTTTTTTCAATCCATTTCGAACTATCACACCTTGGAAATGTCAATAGCAACCGGGGGTAGGAGTGACTTTGGCATAGTATTCAACCTTTTTTGAAAAAGGACTGCTGCCTAGTCACATCAAAGAATTAACTGATTCAGGCCTCACGGAGGTTCAAGTCCAAAGTTCATTATGGAAAAACTACTCGTTTTCTAGATTGTTAACTAGTTTTAATTTTTAAAACTATGTAGCTTATATTTTTATATTTGTTCTCAATTTTACATAATGTTTTATGTTTATACTTGGTTTTAAATTGTTTATAACATTAATGTCTACTCTTTTATTGAAATTATTCGTTTTCCGTTTTTCATAATGCATATAAGATTTGGGTTACTCATGCATACCTACCATACTTTTTGTGAGGTTGCTTTGTGATTATCTATAGCTTTGTTTTGGTTCGAAATTTGGAACGGTTCTGGGATTGCGCAGAGCTGCTTGCGCACAAAAAATAATAGAGGACTGTTCTAATACCAGTTCTGAACCGATTAGGGAACCAAAAAAACCAAAACACGCCGTAAATCACAAAATTCTTAAACAGTTCCTCCTTCAGAACAAGAACTGAGAGAACCGTTCTAGAACTGTTCTCAAATAGTTCTAGACGAACCAAAACACTGTCAATACAGTTCGATTACGATTCTGAAAAAACGAAAATGTGTTTTGTAATATGCGCATGTGCAAAATGATTCCAAACTAGTTCTGAGTGAAACCAAAACAAAGCTAATATCATTTGGTTGGCAATAAAGGATATTATTATTATAAATGTAAATAAATAGAAAAATATTGTTTCGAAATAGTATTTAATTACAATGTTTCAACAATAAAATATTTGATAAATAAAACTCAGTAAATAGGTTTGCTGGCTCCAAAAATAAATTAAAAATTTAACCACAACAAAACACACACAATATGCGTATTTAAAATACTGTCGTGAATTATTTACAAATACATCAGTCCGCTAGATGCTGCATGTGCCATTAGCGTGTTTGCAGCTTGTTGGGTTTCCAAAAGGATTCTAGTTTCATTCATCCATTGTCTTGCAACTGAACGAGGAGCACCTTTTAGTAGGTTCATGTATTTTAAGGCTTGAGCGAAATCGCCTCTATCCAACCAATACCTAAAAAGATGATTAAAACATTATACAGAAAAAAAAAATACCATGCATGCATGATAATACCTTGCTCTTTGCAAAATTTCATTGGTATTCAATTTGCCAAAGTTGGTCTTCTCATCATTTAACTCGGCCCGTGAAATTGGACTAGGACATTTAACTAAGATCAGTGACTGTAAGTATGATAAAATATGAACAGGAAGAGCGGACCCTAAAAAATACAAAATTTATATATTCAAATAACAACATAAATCTTTTAATCATGTACCTTCAGCGGAAACTAAATCAACAGTTCTTGCTACATTTTCGACTTTTAAAAACCGTTCTCTGAGGGCGTCTTCAGGGAAAACTCCCCTTTCCTTAGCTTCTGTTGGAATACCATCAATAACAACTGATACAAGTTCATCATTTGGAGCTAAAAACAATACTTTTTTGATCCCAAAATTCAAAATTCAATTAACGATTTCTATTTTTATTATAGGTTTTTTACATTATATTTAGGATGCCGTCATAGAACAAGGACTGGCAATCTTAGACCTGGCAATGTTGTCAATGCCTATTTGTTTTCTTATAATTTATCAGAATGTCATAATAAATTATCAACATCACTGACAGCTAATAATAACGAAAAGAATCGACAAGGATTATTTATTTGCAAATGTTTATTTAAATCATGCAACGTGGCGCGCCATTGCCAACGAGAAACATCTGAAACTCCCCTACTTTAAATGCGTTAAGAAGTACTTTTAGTTTTGTTAGATTTGCAGCAAAAATTTACTTAATGTGACGTCATCCTAAATATAGCGTAAAAATCCTACAGACTAATAAAATTTACCCGCTGCTTTTAAAACTGCCTGAATTTCTGGTTCTAGCGGTCTAATTTGGTCTTTCCATGGGATTCCTGGATATCCTGCTCTGACAGCTCTGAGAAGAGACTGACATGTGGCCCACAATACTTGCGCTTGTTTAGAACTAGCATCAGCATCGTTCCTAACTGAAAATAACAATTTAAGATACTTCATTAGTTAAGGAGAACAAACATTTAAAATCCGTGGTTAGAGAAAGTAGGTAAATTAATTTTTTAGCTCATTTTCACTACAATTGTGAGTGTGTGTGTGTTTAATTCAAATTCAACGATTCAATGGTTATCGTCATATTTCTAGAAGTTCAAAGATTTTCAGGGACAATAAAAAAATAAAACTTATTACACTATAAAAGTTAAAGTTTTCAGAGAAAAAGATTGACCCAAGGAAAACTTGAAGCCACCAAAACTTCAAAAACTTTCAGCAATTCACTTTACACAAAGTATTTACCTTTGATACCCTCATCCAAGCCCTTCAGCCTTCCTGCCATAATTGACAATTGAGCATCAAGCTTGCACTTTTCCTCCTCCAAAAGCTCCTGAAATCTCTTGGATAATTCTCGTTCAATTTCAATCTCCCGAACTTTGACCGCTTCAAGCAGATGATCATTAAATATTTGAGATTGCCTCTTAAGTTGTTCCCTCATCTCTTGTTCACCTTCCTTCTTTAACTTAAGAGCCTGAAATTATAAATATATTTAGTGAAACATTCGTGAAATACTCATTGAGAAAAATGAATAAAATTTTAGCAATTTTTCAAGACAAACTCATGCAATGCTGTAGAAAAATATTTGCTAATATTTGTTCAATTTGTCGTGACTTACAGTTTGTTGAAAACTAGCAGTTAGGCGCCTCTTTTCTTGTTCAACAGCTACACAGATTTGAGCCACTGTCAATGGCTCCAAACCACTCCTTTTTGCTTCTTCTATTGCTTGGTTTACTTTGGTTTGCAAAAAGCTCTCTATTTTGGCTAATTCCTGTGAAAAAATTTACTATAGATAACAAATATTTTAGAAGTGAAATAGTTTTTGTTTACCTTTTGATAAAATAGTAAATTAGAATGTACATATAATAAAAGCAAATCTAATTCATCTTCCTTGATGTTCAAATCCTTTCTAGAGATGTCCACATTGGGAAAAAGAATTTTTAGTTCGTTACACAAATTTTCTCTTGCAGCCTGGACTCTTTCCCAATATCTTTCTGTGACACTGCCGCGTTTCAGTTCCGATTCAAACCTATTTTTAGCTTCTTCGATTTTCTCTTGCATCTAAAAAGTTAATGGTCTATAAGATTATTGTTACTCTTGTTATAATGATTTTGATATCTACTAATGGTTTTTTTGACCAAAAAGTTATTGCAATTATCTATAATTCGCTACTTATATTGTTTAAAATAAATAAACATTATCTGTTTCATATCAAGGACATTAGGTTGCTTCAGAATGTATATGAAAGAACTCTTAAACGGATCTACATTATCTGTCAGAAAGACCTCCTTGAAACTATGGAAAACAGAAAACCATAATGGTAAACACTGCCATGATCTTGGAGCATAATTCCATCTACATCATTCTACCCTACCAATCCAATAGGTCATAATGAATAATCATTTTAAACTAAATAAAGGAAATGCAGTCGAGTTGTATAGACACCAATAGAATTTCTCTCTTGGCAGTCAATTGATTAAAAACCTGTTTACGAACTGGAAACTTTAAAACAACATGAATATTTTTTATGTTTGTCTGTCTCAAAATTAAATATAAATTCCCAAGCCAAAATTTCAGGGGAAATATTGGGAGTAGCCCGTTTTTGAAGTTAGTGAAATTGGTAATCATAAATACTTGTAACTAAAAAAGTTACTAAATTAGACTATGCTTGCCAATTATTAATATGAAAATGAAGTAGGTACCAACATAATGTCATTTTGACTTTTATATTTAATGTCGAGACATACTTTATGTAATATTTACCTTCGAAATGCTATTGCTAATAGAGATTTTGATATAATCATTACCAATAAATCCTTTACCAGAAATTAACTCTTTCAGTGCATTCAAATCACTAGTCGCTTCGTCTGCAACTTTGTGAGCTGTTGCAATACACTCATTCTTATGCCGGGTTTTGTTTCTTATATTCTCCCATATTTCTGGTTTCATCTCATTGACTGCTTGGTTCATAATAGGTTCAATTTCTCTGTTGTAGTTAACCAAAGCTTCAACTGCATTATTATATACTTGGACAGCCCTTCTAGTTACCCTGGTAATTTTTTCGTCCATCTCATCATATTTAGATAAGTTGATTTGGCTTGATTGGGGTGCTAGTTCTACAACTAATGAAGCAATAAACAAATTACAGGATGTGTGAAATATTATTAAAGAGAAATAATGAAAAATATGTAAGTACCAATATTAGTGTCCTCCTTTGCAAGCTTCTTTTCCGTCTCCACATTTTTTTCTTTTAAGGTGTTTTCCAGTTTTCGTACTTCTTTTTCTACGACTAGCGGGGTGTTAATATTGTCAATGAAGGAATTTCAAATAGTTAGTTATGGTGAGTTGTAGCAGGAAAGCCAAACATAATTTTTCAGAAATCTCCACATAATGAAAATCAATGACCTAATTAATACCACATATAGAAAGAATTGTGAACAAAACCATGTGTTGAAAACATCCCTGATCTCTACCAAAACCACTTTCCACTAAAATGCTAAATTTAGTGTAGTGAATATATATTTTTATTTTTCTAGCACAGGTATCAGGTTGTACATAGGACTGAATCTAAGGCCCACCTGTCGTAGTGATTCAGTATTGGAGTATTGCCCAGATTAGGTTGTTGTCTTTTTTTAGGCTTTGATGATTAATGAGCATTAAAAAAAGACGAACATTGGTACCTATTATGCGACTAGTTTTGTAAGAACAGAAATTTTATTTTAGTTATTGAACCAACTGGAGAGAGATGCAATTTATCCCCAGCATGCATCTGGCACATTCCCTGGCCTATAAACATGTCAACACAAAGAAGATGATTTTAATAATGAGATGCTCTGTCTAGCGGTATTAGATCATTCATTGGAAAAATCAAATACTTAATAGAAACAAACAAACGCTAACAGATAATGAAGAAAAACTTAGGCAAACCAACCCACACATAACTAAAAAAATCAACTAACCTTTAGGTTGCTTAGGCTTTGAAATAGGTTCATTTTCTCTAGCAACAACTTTTTCAGCATCTTCTCCTTTACTGAGTTTATCCAATTGTTGTTTAGCCTTACTGTAAAAAGCAGTCGGTGTATACTCATCTAAAGTATCTAGCACTGGGTTTACAAACGGCACATAAGATGTCAATGTTTTTCGGAAATCACTGTCGTATTTTGCATAGGCTAAAGTTACGCCACCAGCTAATGTTAGGGCACCTTAATAATTAGAAAATCAATTGATTTATAAATTAGGAACTTTTTCTATATAATATTTGCACTTTTTTAAAGGGCACTTACCTAAGGCAAAAATCAGTTTTCCTCCAGCCCCACCACTTTTCTCATAATTTTCTTGTCCCTTGCTGTACTGGCGAACTCCATAACTGGCATTAACAAAGGTATTGTTTATTGTGCCTGCTACGCAATGTTGTTTTGACTGCTTCACATCGAGGAGTTTCTGTAACGGAGAAAAAAGCTGTTGATACATTTATACCCATGTTACTAACCAAAGCTTCGTAATTTTATTTCTACCTCTACCATGAGGATGAATTCGCTAGGCACCTTACCAGCAGATCCATAATTTAACCCCCAATACACTTCAAGGATTTTATGAAGGTGATCTCATAGCAGTAATGAACCTTAACCATAACGTTTTTATATCCTTGAACATAAATTCCTGACTCATATAAGATAAGTTTTCTAACTCTAGAAGAATAGTGTCAATTTGAACCAATACCATGAAATAAGACATTGGGGGTTTTTGAGCATTTGACCAGTCGGTATCTTTGACAGATGAGCAACGCATTTTCAGTCATTTAAGACCAATTGGTTAACAAATGACGCTTACTTCATTGTTTACCTGTCAAGTGTACTCGACCGGTCAAACGCTTGAAATCCTCTAATAAATTCAATGTTTATATTTCCGAAACGAGAGACTGTTAGAGCATTCCTTTAAGAAAAAAGCTTGTAGTACTGCAATAGATATACAGACCTCATTCTATCCCTTGACAGCAATAAAGTTACTGTCCATTGTCAATGGGCCGTTATATGAAAAAACCTGTGGATAAACTTAGATTTACTTAGAATTTTTTGCAGAACTGGTTAAAAATTTCCATTTCAGATTAAATCAAAACACATTGAATGTTTTGTTGCAGTAATTGGTTACAAATTTAATATTAGCACAAGCATTTTATTTTGCATAATTGTTCGATATGAAAAATTGAAAAATTCTGTATTTTTTTTTCTTTTAGTAGAAAAGAGATAATGACCGGGTCAAGGAAATATTAACCAAATATGTCGAAAGAGGTCCCATAATATACACTGGGTTACTCACTATTTTTGGACCCCCCACCTGCAGCCTTCACCTTTAGGTACAGGTAGATGATAGGTGTAAATACAAAATTTGTGCAGTTTTTGCTACATTTTTAGAATCCATCGTCAGAAACAAAAAAAATTTGTCAGAAATTTTAAATTTCGCGTACTTTCAACTTTTTCCAAATGGAATGCCCTATAGTTGATTCGATATTTTTGAAGAGCACAATTTCCCGATTCCAAAAATATTTAGTTTATCTATATTTGGTTGAGCCATCTCCAACATATTTGGCTCTAAAAATTATAAAAATACTTCTCTACTGACTTGGATTTTCTGAACCATTCTACCCGTAAAGATGGAAGCTGCAGGTGAAATTTGAGGCTCATGGTTCCTCTGATAGTATTTTTATAATTTTTAGAGGCAAATATGTTGGAGACTGCTCAACCAAATATACTTAGACATACTAGGTATATTTTTGGAATTGGAAAATTGTGCTCTTTAAGAATATTGAATTAAATAGGGCATTCCATTTGAAAAAAAGTTGAAAGTACACAAAATATCAAATTTCTGACAATAATTTTTTGTTTCTGACGATGGATTCTAAAAATTTAGCTATAAAACTGCACAACTTTTGTATTTACTCCTATAATCTACCAGTAAAGGTGAAGGCTGCAGGTGGGGGGTTAAAATATAGTGAATAACCCTGTACCTACACACTTATTACAAGGCTTATGGCCAACTCTAAGTGTTGTGCAAAAGTTGTGGTGGAGAATGTTAATGACACTCAATAAATTGAATTGCAGTAGGATTCTTCTGAAAGCTATTTTGAAAGGAAGCATGTACATCAGGAGAAACTTGTGGATCGTCTGAGTAGAAAATACAACGAAACTAATACCTACTTCTTTCTTTCAAGACTTTTCTGGCTATTTGCTATATTGGAACTGAATTCCTGGTTCATGTAGGTATTGGAATAGATTTTCCTTCCATCCTCATGTTATTATGAATTCAACCAAAATTGGTAACAGCATCGTGTTACAGTTTTTTATGTTTAAACTTGATTCCGGCTGCGCCAGGTGCAACTCTTGCCTTTAGATTAGCGATAATTGTATTTAGATCTAGCTCTTCTTCAGTAGGATGGTTGAGGAAAATTGTTTTATTCTGCGAAGTTTCTTCTAGAGAATCTTGATTTAACTTTGTGGCGCATAGTTCTTCTTGTCTTGTTCTACTTCCTCACCAATCTTCCTGCCTATATTCCTGAAATATATATTTCGATGATCTTCTAGCTATTTATTCAGGTCTTATTCGTCCTTCAATTTTTGTTTCCATCAATGTTCATTGTTTGGGAGGCAGGTGTTCAATGTGGTTTGATTTTTCATCATCTTCAAAATTATTGGCAATTTTTTGATTAACTAGGTACTCTCTAGGTTTTTTTAAGATTGCCAAATTTAAATTCTTGTTGTAGAATTACATTGTCGGAGTTTCAATTAAGTTTAAGATTATCTCTTTGCCAAATTTTGGATATGAAGTGACCATTTACCCACATATTATATTGATGCCTGATTCTTTTCCTGGTAGTAGCTTCGTCCACCTTGATATTCTGTATTTCTAATTTCTATAAGTTTGACAAATTGTTTCTATGTTACTTTTGTTTATTTCTTCCTTTAGTCTAGTTTGATAATATTCAGTATTAATAATACTGCATTGTTTTCTCAGTTTTTGGAATTGTTATCAATTTTTAATGTAGTGAAATTCATAACCAGTACTTTGTGATCTGTAATAGGACTGTCAAAATCTCGGTCAAAATATTATGCTGTATTGATTTCAACATTTTTCATGTTTGTCAGTGTGTGATCAATAAGGCATATTGAATTTTTAGACTCTCTCGTAGAATTGGTTTCTGCAATCAAATTTATGTATTCATTGTTTAGGCCGTCGGCGGAGAAGCGTTTGCGTTCAAAAACCCGGTATTGAGGTATAATTTATTGAGACTAGTATCAGATGATTCAGCATATTTTTCTGCATATGAAATCGAAATGGACGACTTTTTTCATTGGTCGAGAGCCAAGTTAGGAGCAAAAAACTAAAAATATACGGAAACTAAAATGTCCAAGTTTAACCTCGTATAACTTCTAAACCGCTCAAGGTAATAGAATTTTTCTTCTAGATTCTAGACAAAAATATTCTCTTCAATATGGTGTATAAATTATTTGAAACATATCAAAGTAGAGCTCAAAAAATCAGTTATTTTGTAGACACGGGGCGATTGAATAAAATATATGTTTGCTTTAACCTGCGATAACTCTTTTATATATAGGAGTATTCAATTAATTTTTTGCTCAAAAACTGGCAAATTTAATTGGCTTTCTTTTGACTCAATTATATACCGACCTATTTTCAATAATAAACTCAATAGAGCCGTTTAAACACAGCAAAGCGTGGTCTGGCGGCAGAAGTTGTGTGGCTCCCCTCTCATTCCCGCTGTCCGCTGACAACCACAGGTATGAATTAAAACATTACGTGTGCGACGCCTAGACTGCCTGACAGTCAATTTTCCTTGTTTATAGAACTTTGTGTTCTATTTTTGAAAAGTCTAGTTTATAGGGTTCTCATATCATCAGGAAGTAGTAAAAAGCTAACTGAAAATTATCGAGAATTATTGGGAAACTTGTAAGTACGAACACACTTAAGTTAAAAAAGAGAACGAGTGCACGCCAAAATCCCGTAATTTCAAGTGTGATTGGTCTAAGTCAGGATCTACTTATTAAATTAATTGTTACATTCAACACATGAATGAAATTGAAATTATCCCTCTTTTACGCTTACGTAGGTAGGTATAGTATTTTTAATCCGAACTGAAACACTAAAAAAACATCTAGTCGGCATACATCAAACAAATTAAAGACATGGGCGTCACATAATTTTTATTTCTTTAAATGGTGATAATCAATGTCAAAAAACACAACTAAATAATACGTGGAATAAAACAGTAAGTAATATACCTATAAATTGGGATGACACTAGTTACTAGTCATAGATAACGCGTATAGTCTAGTCAGCCAGGCACCCGCATCCTTCCCGAAAAGAAGAAAAGTAAGAAAAGTAAGTAGCCCACCCCAGTAATTTAATTCATAGGCGCATGCCGACCTAAATTATTATTTTGGGCTACTGTCGCGATATTTCGTCGCTGCCTATATTTTGTACAGGGAAACTTTACAATAGATTTTCTATGAAATTAAGAGAAGAGAACGACGTGATGTTGAAATATCCTTCTATAATGCAGTGTTTCAAGTCAGAATAAAAATACTATACTACTTTACATTTTTTCATTTTGTAGGCGGACTAACATTGACGTCATGGATAATGTTTGTGTTTTATGTTGGAAAACATTAACGGCAGAATCACCTAGCTTTTCAAAAAGCCAACAAAACAGGGCTACTTGACAATTTTTCCTGCAGCAGAAAAAAAAAAGATGCTATTTCTTCACAGATATTGTGAGGAAGAAAAGAAATAAACGCTAGTCCCGAAAGATTCAAATACCTATCATAAAAGTTGCTATTTTTGCAGAAAAAATAATATTGACAAGGTAGTGAAATTAAATAATCCAAACATAACCAAAGTCTTTCCATCAAGCAGCGGTCATAGTGATAGGAAGAAGTTTAATATAAAAGCTGACTGCTTGATTTGTGGTAAAAGCGGCATCAATAAAAAGAAAAACTTAACATAATATCTTTGTAAGTAAGGGACTAAAAGTATTCTTTTAGTCCCTATTTTCAGGGACTAAAGTGGCACTTTTTCTCCCTAGGGATTAAAAACGAATTTAATCCCTAAGGGATTAAAAATGATTTTAATCCCTAAAATAAATAGGTAGGTAAGCAATATTGCATTAGTACATATAAGAATTAAAAACTCAGGTAACTATAATAGTATATTGTTCATCTTAGCAACTTGTCACAACACACCGAGATTTCGATTTTTGAATAACATGTTGATGTCAAATAAGGTGCATTAATTTTTTCACATGACATGTCATCATCATAACCACGTTTTGTAAGAGTACGGTCAAGTCAAGTCAAGTAAGTGGCATTTAATTATTTTTTTTTTACAGTGTTTCTTTCTATCCTCTAAAGTACATAAAATACAACTCG